AAGTGCAACAGATTGGCCCAGGTGGAGATTACTCCATCCACACAGTTAAGTGTAGATGGAGGAATCTGTTGCACCTTTTCCATCTGACCATAGAAAATCTGCAGAAAATCTATAGGTGTATGGCCAGCTTTATTTTACACCCTAGACCAAAACAAGCAGTTAACCCTAGCAGTGCGGGGGGAGCCACACTCCAAAGGTTAATTTTGTTTCTGCCCAGAGTTCTTCTTTAAACATTTTTTTTGTTTTTAGCCAATAGAAAGCTTTGTACTATTCAAAAAAAACACATGAAAAAGTACGTTACATCCATTTTCCCACTTTGAAGTCTACTGGGGACAATATGCACAGTTCTGACCCAAAAGAAGCTCATGTTCGTTTTCGAGTGAAAAACATCAAGGGACACTACACTCCCTAAAATGGGCACCATTGAAAATAATGGAAATCCCATTGTCGACCGTTGAAGCACTTCTGGCAAAGTTTCAACCGTGCCTCCAATCGCTCAGGTGTGAATGGGGCCTCAGGGCCCATTCACACCATGTCCGGATCATCTCCAGATAAGACCAGATTGTTTCCGGACCCAAGACGCATCCTAATATATCTCTATGCTATTTCTGGCCTCTGTTCACACCAGCGCAGTCCGTTCCAGACCAGACCAGAAAATTACTGCTTGTCCTATTTTGTCTGGTCTGGAATGCAGTGGAACGCATCAAAAACGCATACAAACACACCTGTAAGACAATTTTATGCAAAACAAAAAAAAAATTCCAAACGTGGCAAAATCGCAGTAAAAACGCAGGGAAAAACGCAATGCACTGCGTTCCAGATCTGGTCCAGAAAGTGAACCTGCCCTGAGTGATGTTTGATTCACCTGTATAACATACTACTTCAACTTTGAAAACATCAATATTCTAGGATTGTGGAGAAAAATACATTTTTCAAATAGTATTCATTAGCTATTATATTACCTTTCACATGTATCATTGCATCCAGCCAGAACAGCAGTTTCTAGTAATCTACGGCTGACAGGGAAATGTTAACTTTAACTCAAGTGAAAGATTGCCTAATGCTGCTGATACACAGCCAGAGATTATTTCATGATGCAGATGTTCCCTATGCATCAGTGCTATAAAAACTCACAATGCAAGTATGACACATAAGTAAGACACAAACACACAACTTAAAGTGACATTAAATTTAGGAGTCACCCTAAAATGTATCTTATCTGTGTGTCACTCAGCTGTAGATCCTCAAATCATCTCCGAATTCATGCTGACACTGTCCTTCCTTCTGGAGGGTGGCTACTATTGTTCCCCATGGTCCCTGTGTGTGTTGTAAAGTAGCCACCACTCCAAGCTCACTCCTGTGAAGGACTACAATCTCAAAACAAAATAGCAAACTAAATGTGAGATTATAGTCCATCACAGGACTGAGCTTGGAGCGGTGGCTACTTTACAACACACACAGGGACCATGGGGAACAATAGTAGCCACCCTCCAGAAGGAAGGACAGTGTCAGCATGAATTCAGAGATGATTTGAGTTTCTACAGCCGAGTGACACACAAATAAGATACATTTTTGTTCATCGCTAGGGTACTTTAATGCTTACAATCGTAATTTTTAAGATTAAACTCCTGAGTTTAGTGTCACTTTAAGTTTGTAAAAAAAAACTCACAACTTAAGTATGACACAAAATCACAATGCATGACACAAGCAACAGCACAGAAAGAATTCTAAGGTTCTATTTTGGGGTTCTCTTCTTCCCAACAAAGCTGATGCCTTATGACAGGGCTCTCCAAACTACAGCCCACAAGGCAGCATCCAGCGCTCTGCTACCCCATCTGGCTGGCAGTGAATACAATTGGATGTAAGGGGAACTTGTTAATTAATTTACATTCTAGTCATTCATTTATAAAAAACTGATTTTTTTTTGGCCTGCGAACATTTGGAAAATATACGACGTGGCCATTATATTGAAAACGTTTGGAGACCCCTGCCATCTGACAAAAGGGTTGGGGGGGGGGTTAATCTCTACTTGGGCAGACATTGGAGTTCCATGTACAGTCTTGGTCTAGGATTAACAATTGTAGGGCCCATTGATCTCAGAAAATTGTGCTAAGCTCATTCTACTGTGCCTTTAGCGTACTCTATTTCACCGTGCACCAGGTGCATTGCATTGCCATTCCTTTCAATGGCACCCCAACACACCTCCTAGTGGCCATGTGTTACAGCGCCTGGTACCTTGCGTTGCATTAAAAAAAAGTAGTGCATGCACTTTTTTCACCGCAATGCACAGCCGACAGGAAGTGTGTTGTGGTGCCATTCAAATAATTGGCAACACAATGCACCAAGCGCATGGTAGGTAGGCCGAGTCAGGTTTGCTCATATTAAGTTCTGTTTACTCTGGCACCTGCAAGATAAAACAGAACTCCAAGTAAATGAAATGAACATCATGGCAGACTTGTTCCACCTGCTCCTGACATTGCTACTTGCCGAGATCAACCTGTTTATCAAGGTTCCTGTTCCCTGAACATTGCAACAAAAAGTTCAGCTGATGTTACACACAAAGCAAAGTAACAAGTGTCTGCTGTGCAGTTTGACTGGTTGTCTTGGAGCAATCTCGATTAATACTGGTGCTGGGGGCTGCACTATTGTTGGTTATTAATCAAATGGTGCAAGCACATCCACACTTACCTTGGCCTTCATTTTTCTGGGGATTAAGCTGCCTCAGCTGGTCAAATGGTAGCAGAGTCCCTTACAACCAGTGTGAGCCATAGGTTGCAAAGTCCCCTGTGACCAAGGTGAACTACCTTTCACTAGAAAAAAAGTCGTATGGCCCATGTGCACTATTGTGTTGTGATATAGTTATTATTTATGTTTCTATAGCACTTTTCTCCTTAGGGACCCGAAGTGGTTTTGGGGCAGAGAGGAAGTGGGGGAGCCATTTTGGGCCCCACGTTGAATATCATACAATGGTCAGTTTTAGACAGAAGCAAATTAACCAACAACGCACATGTACATAAGTTACCAACGTTCCAAAAGTCAGCACATCACAACGGATAAAAGTCTATTTATAAACCTTCTGTCCAGTCATACACTGGGTGAACGCCATTCAGACGGCATTCCCGTCACTAGATGGAGCTGAAGAGCATAGGAATTTCACACTATATGCGATGACCTGTGTTTTTCTGCACAATAACAACCCAGGTCACCACTAGGCTACATAGGAAACAATTGTTTTCTATGTGTTCCATGCAAATCAGAATGCTGGTGTGATGTGCAGTGTGAAAAAAAATCAAGAAAATTATACATTTTTCTGCAGTGCAGCGGATAGCTCCGGAGGTCGCTTCACAGCTGTGTGTAGGCGGAATGGAGTGTACCCTTTGTAGAGTCTCAATAAAGTTAAAAATGTGTTCACAGTGTGATGTGCTGAAACAGTGAATCTATTGACACCCCCCC